TTTGTATTATTGAGGGAAAATATGAAGTGTAAGATTACACAAAAAAAAAGGGGGCTGCGAAAATGAGTTGGTCAACAAATGTGTTGAAAACAAAAAAATATTTCATAATTTTTGTAATACGTTTGATATTTCGAAAAGATAAATGAAATAGTTCAATGATGAAAAGATTCGATTGGATACCAATAGGCCACCGTAGAAGAAGTTGTAAGTTTAGTGGTAGGAAAATAACTATCCCCGTGATCCCATGGGATCTTGGGATGTGGCTAGCCAAGCAATTTGTCAACACCATTAGTCTGGGCCAGCCAAGGGTTGACTTTGGCGCATCTGCCGACCGATCGCAAGGCGCCAACCGCGTTATACACAATAAAGGGGTAGTTAATGACAACGGGGTTGGTTCTCTCTCTCTCTCTCTCTCTCTCTTCCATCTGATCGAAGACCCTTAGATACCGTATGCCAGCCTGTTGACAAAATATTGTCCCTGGCACAATCACCAAACGTATTTTCTCAAAGGATTTCACATAGAAAAAGGGTTCAATCTGCCGATCGGATTTTTATATCACATCAGTTAACGATGATCAATCGTCGAACTAACGATATTTATTTAATATTATTTAAGGTGTTTTAGGATATTATTTAAGGTGTTTTAGGATATTATTTAAGGTGTTTTAGGATATTATTTAAGGTGTTTTAGGATATTATTTAAGGTGTTTTAGGATATTATTTAAGGTGTTTTAGGATTAAATTGTATTGTAATATGTTAAGTTTTATTGAAATGTATGACTCTGTAAAAAAGATAATATGTATTGACGCGTGAACTAAATGATCAAGGTAAAAAATTAGAATTTATTGTAATGTTTATATTTATTAACAAGTCATAATAAAAATTTTTAGTTGCTGATGAAGTCCCCAGTAAGGGACGAAACGTACAACTAGTTCAAAATAAATTGTTCATCAGATTTATTAACCGTCTATAATTCCCTTTGAAACTTATATATTTAGATATTTATTTATTTCTATCTTATTTATTATCGAGAAGAAAATAATTAGGTGAACAAGTGTAGATAGGAAAGGTAAGAAATTGTTGATTTGACTGAAACGAGGATAGGTAAGATATACCATTAATTTTTAAGATGAAAATAATTAAATAAACGAGTTGTTGATTTGACTTCAACGTGAATAGATAGGAGACGCCATTGGTTATCAAGATGAAAATAATTAGGTGAACAAGTGTAGAGGAAAGTAAAGTACTCGTTGATTTAGCCGGCGGTAAGTTGAAACGATGTAGGATCCGCGGTTTGAAGAAGTTGTTGGTAAAAAAGAAGGTGTCGGGGTTGGTAGTAGGGGGTGCAAGGTAGGTATAGGAATAGAAGGGGTAGGTAAGGAGAAGAGGAGATTGAGAGGGGGGACTAAAGGGGTCTTCCTCGAAAGCTGAAACTGAAACGGGGATAGGTGGGATGCCATTGGAATAAGATCGGCTTTAGCCGCAGTGTCGGGTTCGAGCCCCAGGATAAGTCTGCCTTATCCCGATAAGCCGGTGAGTTAATGAATCACAAAACAGGTGGTGGCGCCGCTACTGCCGAGATCGTCTTCTTCCCTGACTAGTTGAGTTTCTCAATAAGATCGAACAATATTTTACTCAGAGTAGATATAAATGATGTAAAACCCAACAACAACAACAAAAAGTATACCTGACAAATCTGCAACTTTCAAATCCGATGTTCGAAGATCGAAACGAATTGTGTAGAAAACTGATTAACCAATTTTATTACTTTCTAACGGTAGAAGTTAACCCGACACAATTCGGCCTAACAAAATTGTTCCCTTTTCTTTTTTCTACTTTTGATTATCTTCAAGTTGGTATCTCCACAGTTTGTGGAATAACACACACACACGACTTTATGGGTGTGGTGGCCTCCTTATCGTGGTGCTATTCGTACGAAAATTTTTTTTATCTCATCGTTGGTCGTCTCCGCCGTCTCGCACCTGACAAGAGAGAAAAAAATAATACAAGGCCTGCCTGCCTGCCTGCCTGCCTGCCTACGACGTTGTTTTATCGCACGAGAAACTTCACTTTAACGTCTAACACGAATAAGATGATGATGATGATGATGATGGAGACGAGAAAGTAGATAAGTTAATTAACTATGTGTACGTGTGTGTATATACATAGTAATGTAATTATTCGTCTAACAAATAAAAGTATGAAATATTAACGTCAAACTTAATTGTGTGTGTCTGTGTGTGTGAAATTTTTCTTCGTTTGATTTTGATCGAATTTAAAATTTATTCTCGACGATTAAATGATCGAAATATTAAACAACAATTGTTAACGAATCTTTTACTATCGCATTTTATTTCTATTTTTATAGATAAATATTTTGTCCCTAGTGTGAGAGAAATTTTGATGGCAGTAAAATATTAGAATTTATTTTAACCATCACAAAAAAACATATACATACATATTATCTCTGTTTGTAAGTTGAGTAAGTTTGTAATCGTCGCCAGATAACCATCGTCGAATGTGTCGAGTAGAAAAAAAAAAAAAAATGAAGAGAATAATATGTAACACACGTTGGTTTGATATTATTACACTTATTTTTACTTATCTATAACCTAAGTCTACGTTTAGATATCATTCGAGTACAATTTTCAAATTCGAAACTTCGAATAACTTCTTTATTTGTATATCGTATTATTTTTCTAATTAAAATTTATATATCCCTGTGTAAAATTAATTTCACACAAAAATTATATTATTAATTAATTGAAATGAAATTTGCGTTGAATTAAAACACAAACAAACAAACAAA